GGAGTCAACATGGCTATTACCATGACAGTAGAAGTGGTCGGATAATTTTCTTTTGTAAGAATAATTAAAGGATTTTACAGCTTCATAATAAGTTCGTTGAAAAACGACAGTCTCTTCTTTTAATCTTCTGTTTTGACTTTATCTATATCACTTTTACAATGAAAAGTAGCTTTTATGTTATAGTATTATGAATATTCTGACCTTCCAAAGGAAGTCTTAGTTGCTTTTCACCTAGAACTTTGTAGTTTGTGAGTAGATAGAATCATATCGGTTTGAACACACTGAGGTTTGTTTTAAAATATGCTAATTGCAATACATCGATTCTGGTCATATCGGTATCAGAGTATTTCTGTGTTCAACTGGTATTATTATTATTGTATCCTTTAGTTCCTAGAGGAATATAGGGCTTCAGCTGCGTATCTCCATTGCCTTCTGTTTTCTGACAACTTTTTCACCCCGCTTCAGGTCTGTCCACATGCTTTCATCTCCTCCTCGCATGACCTCCTCCAAGTCACCCTTGGACGACCAACTCGCCGCCTCCCTTTCGGCTTCCACTCGAGCAATGGCTTGTCTAGTGATGTCACTTGATGGTTTCCTCAGCGTATGGCCAGCCAATCCATCTCCATTTCTTCCTGCCTATTTGTTTCACAATCGGTTCCTGATTGGTTCGCTCATTGCCAGAGATCCCTGTTGCTGATCTTTTCTGGCCATCTGATCTTGAGTATTGAGCGGAGACAGCTGTTAATGAAGGTCTGAAGTTTGTTTGAGATGCTTTTCATGACGCATCAAGTCTCTGATCCCTATAGTAGCACTGACTTTACATTGGAGTTGAAAATCCGGATCTTATTTTTGATGCTGAGTGCTGTTGACCTCCACACAGATTTGAGAGTAATGAAAGCTTGTCTTGCTTTTCCGATTCTGGCTTTGATCAACTGGTAAACATTACTAATTGATGTAAATAGCATTTAACTGCTGAAATTGACTGAGAAGTAGTATTAAACATTCGACCGAATATTTTTAGTTCCAGTGTATGTCCGATAAAATCGGGTAGTTCAAGTGAGTAGTAACGTCTCTGACTGCACCACTGGGTGACGCCGGTTCGGATCTAAGTAGTGAGTGGAGTTACTTCAAGATCGCAGACACGCCTTGCTGACTGGTGAGTGCCAGCTAGCACTAAACCTGGGTTCAGGGCTTCCTGTGGCCGATTGTCTCCAATCATCTAATGTCATCAAATCGATGATGGCGAGCTACCTAGAATGATGGCCACAATGCAAACCTGACTGACAGAATTCAGTCGGCACCAAAGAAAGGACTGGACACTTCATACTAGTTGATAGTGTCCAAGCAAAGTTGAAGTGAGTATTGTGTTTGTGTTGTAAATCATGCTATTATACAGTTTCATGATGCCTAACATGTGGATATGCAAGTGTTAGTAACTGATATCCTTATTATTCCCTTGTGTTCCAATTGGGAAATAGAGCTTCAACAGTACATCTCAACTCCACTTGGTTCTGTGTATTCTTCCCTAGATGGTTCTTCAATAACCCATGAGTTCTTCTTTCTCTTCCTTAGAAAATATTCTCTTTGTTGACCTTAGGGCCAGGCTCAACTCTTCGTTCCTTATTCGAGTTCCATTCGACTGCCTAACTAGTTCGTGCTTTCAGTCAACGGTCTTCTCAACATATGTTTAATTCTTCTCTTATTTTTCTTCAGCAAAATTTGTCAGTATTTAGTTTATTAGTTATTTCGTTGCCTGTTAGAGTTCCTTATCGACTGTAATTCCTGGCTGGCCATCTGAACACGAGTATGGAATTATGTCTCTGGAGCATATAAAAGCACGGACTGATTTGATATTAATGTCGAAAATCAGGAATTTTCTTCTTCATGCTGAGTGAAGTAGGTTTTCGTACTAATTTCGGATGAATTTGTTATTATTAACTCAGAATAGACTACCAATTAAGAAGTTGGAAAACGTTTTATTAACGAATTAATTTTCTTGTGATGTAATTTTGTCAAGCAGATATGCTTTGAGTTTCGCCTTTCGAGTGCATTCCATTTAATATGGTTGGAGTCAGTCGGTAGGAAGCCTTTATCTACGTTTCGTGCTTGTTGACATTCACATCACACCATGGCGTACTTGCAATCCTGCCTGTCTGTCTGTTGTCGACACTAGAACTTTGCATTGATGTGCAGCAGTTCTAGTCGCCACACTCCTTCTTGCACACAAAGCAAGAGAAGAAACATAAAAAGGGATGCATAATAGAGACCAGGATATGAGACAAAATGGATGGTAATAGGGAAGAAAAATACAGTTTCATTGGAAATTATAAGTCACAAGGGGTGGATGCATCTGCTCCAATCAACCATTGGGAAAGATTTCGAAGCATATCACCAATTTCCTCCTGCCATCGGTTTCTACCGTCCCGAGGACCTCAGCAAGTCAGGAGGTCTACACCTTCCTACACGGCTGTTGTGAATTCCATTGACTGGTGCCATGTTTTGGTTTGACTGCCTCTAGCTCTTTTCTAGCCTGACTCTATGTCAGCTTACATTGTCTGCCGCTCAAAGAAGGAGATGACTAGGCATACGCAAAACATGTCTCAACAGTCTCATTCGATGTATATTGACAGCCTCGTCGATTGCGTTCCCCTCCTAACCTAGCAGTAGACCAATACCTCACCTCAACATTAATCACCTTATCATACCACTTCATATGGGAGATAGAACGCAGCCACGTGTGATCAAGGACAACTACTCCATTTTCAATGGCCATGTTTCACAGCCATTAGAGAGGACACAGCAGACCACCGAAGATTACACACGCCCTTCAGTCGATAGCCGGATATCACGTCTGCACCAGAGACGGCGTAAACTCGCATATGCGAAGCTGGCCTTATGTATCCATGCTGAGATTTCATCAGTGATCAACCCACTGCCTTTTTTCTTATGCAACTTTCCAAATAAGTGAAGTAGTCAACACGCTCTAACGCTCCTGAAAACTTTGTACCTCTCCTCAGTATCTAAACACCAATACTGAACTAAAATTATAACCACGAATATTTAACGACATTTCACAGCAACACTCTTAGTATTGATACTCTTTGTTTAAATTTCCTCATGGGATTCATTTTATTGAAAATCACACATATATATGCGTATGACTTCAAAATTTGATAATAAATTAATTCAAGAGATCTCCTCCTCTGAAAAGAGTGTTACCAGAAGCGGCACCAATTAATACAACATTAATTAGTCTTAGAAATTCCGAAAAGTAGTCCGGTATCAGAAACGATATAAGTATAATTTTTGTTGTCAGAGGTGAAGAGTCAATCTCATAGGTTGACAAAGCCTACCTCTAGCCTGAGAATCTCACTTCAATGAACTACTACTGGTTATAAAAATTGAAGAAAACAAAAGACAGATTCAGCGGAGAAAAATTTCTTCACCGACGAAATCGTCTTCAGAGGCTGGCTGTACAGTCGCATTTTTTCTTAGAAAAATATATAGCGGTCTATTATAGATTAATATTATAGAGTAATAGGGGGTGACATACTTGATATAATTACTCATAAGTGGCTTTAGAAGTGAAAATTAAAAGTTGTAAATTACGTGGTATTCAACGGCACAAAGATAAAAATTTCATAAGGTTAAAATTGCTATTGAGTGAGAATAAAAGTGATAGTTTAGTGTCAATTTAACAAGTGTGAAGAGGGTGTGAAATGTACAGATGGAGCAAATGAGAGTGATAATAGTGAGTGAATTATTAAAGCAAAAGCTAACTAAAAGTAAAATTTAATAAAAAGCAGCTAGCTTGTGTGGAGCTAGTTATATTAGCCGCACAAATCGCATACTTTCCAGACGCATCTCTGAACATTATGCGTCATAGTTAGCAAAAAGACAATGCAAGAAAATCACTAACTCAATTCTCGAGCATTTGGTGAAGTCATGCCATGTAGCTCCACCAGAGTCATCTTTCAAGATCATCTACAAAATGAAGCCGAATGGTACAAAGGGCGTCAGGTTTCGGCTTTTGTGCATGGTGCAGGCGATGGCAGTTCGTCAATACAACCCTGAACTCTGTATACAGAAAAAGTTTGTCCAGTCTCTTATTCTACTTTGGTCTTAACCTCTTCACTAATCGTTCCATATAAAAGAATTTGATTTTGCTTTTCTTTTTTAATTTTAATTTCACTTTTAGTTTGCTTTTGCTTTAATAATTCACTCACTATTATCACTCTCATATGCTCCATCTGTACGTTTCACACCCTCTTCACACTTGTTAAATTGACACTAAACTATCACTTTTATTCTCACTCAATAGCAATTTTAACCTTATGAAATTTTTATCTTTGTGCCGTTGAATACCACGTAATTTACAACTTTTAATTTTCACTTCTAAAGCCACTTATGAGTAATTATATCAAGTGTGTCACCTCCTATTACTCTATAATATTAATCTATAATAGACCGCTAAATATTTTTCTAAGTATAAATGCGACTGTATAGCCAGCATCTGAAGACGATTTCGTCGGTGAAGAAAATTTTCTCCGCTGAATCTGTCTTCTATTGTCTTCATGGTTCAATGGGTATTTGTGGTGATTATAAAAATTGGCTAAATTTCGGAATGCGTTAACCAAGAATTTAAAAATGAACATCCACAGCAGCTGACGAGCTGACGGTCTACCATTGTACTATCCATGAAGTATAATAATTCACGTGCATTTTATTGCACAAAATCATTGAGGATACCATAAACAACGTCTGATATTTTTTATCACACCCTTTTAATCATCATTTATGTGTAGAAGACATTTACTTCCAAAAATGTATTCAACGGTGTATAATATCACAAGATACAAAGTTATCACATGTTGTGTTAAATAATATGTTTCAAAAAGTGTGAAGATAGGTGTATTTTTTGGGGAACTACAAAATAATGAATGTCACAAGTTCCATCTGGAGGAACTGTGTCATAAATATTCATTACACAGTAGGATAAATTATTCTGCGCCACTCTAAAATGAAGTGAAAAAGAGGAAAAAATGTTTCAGAAAAAGGCGATAACTGTATTCAACATTTTCTAAATTTTCAAGTATTGGTTTTGTAGGGATTTTCTTTGATTGCATGGAGGATTTAATCATGAGCTGACATCAGTTAGAGAACCACTGGAAAACCTGGGAGTACTGGACAGCTGTTTTGTCTTAGTTTGGGACTCCTCAGCAGTACGCACCCACCGGCATTCAAAACCAGGACCTTCTGGTTACAAGGTGAGCTCGTATACCATTGAGCCACTGGGACCCGATTTAATGGTCTACGAGCTCGCCTTGTAACCAGAAGGTCCTGGGTTCGAATTCCGATGGGTGCGTACTACTGAAGAGTCCTAAACTAAGATGAAACACCGGCTGTCCAGTACTTCCAAGATTTTTAATGGTTCTCTAACTGATGTCAGCTCATGATTAAATCCTCCATTTTCTGAATTATCTAGTTTATTAAATACTCTCTTCTCTATGATTTCTTCCAGAAGATCACCCATGAACGCCGCATGCACACGTGTAGCATCTTCGTTTGTCACAGTAGTGAGGTATGCATTTTTGGCTTTGGGTGTTTTGTTTATTACCTATAAAGTGTGAGGGACAGTCGTTCTCAAGTACTCCATTCCTCGAAAGAGTAATCGCTTCTTCTACTCATTTGGGGCTACAGCCGCTTCACCCCCGATTGATGGGTTCTCAACTGTTATAGTTTGTAAACTGACTTGCTATATATATAGCAATCTGTTAAAATTCCCAACAACCATGATGGGACGCGAATCAACAATCTTCTACTAGGCAAGCAGACGCTTTATCCACTCGACGACGCAGACGAGCAGCATAAAGTCCTATCAGTCTTCTTCCTCTTCTTCTTTAGTCGAGTGGGCGAAAAAAAAGATCCAGCAACCCTTGAGAATGATAGTCAAAGAATCTGAAGACCCGAAAAGATTATCAGAAGAAGAGATCACTCTTTTGAGGATAGTCCTACTTGAGAATGGCTAGCCATCACGCCTAATGGGTGAACACGTAAGGTGCAAAACTAACAGCAGAGGATCACCCGATCTCCGTGACCAGATAAAAGTGCTTAACTTGAATGTGGCGTTCAGAGGCAAACTGCTTGTCGACATTCTAATGGAGAGAATATGTAACGCATTGGAAAAAGACGTTCTTCTGACTACTTAGTTTAAATGTTATGCATACTTCTCAGTATGCTATATATTCAGCCAGAATAGGTGAATGTAATGGGAACAGTAATAACTTGAATAAAATGCAACCGGAAGATTGTTGCTTAAACATAACAGGAGTTTGAATTTATCAGCATTCCATCACCATAAGTTAGTTATATGTGCAAATATGTGTGACAGTAAAATTAGGACATTCAAGGTAGAAGTAAGTAAGTTCTTTCATTGTACGCTAGGTTGTTAGTACCTAGCCTCATATATCTATTCGTTTGTTTAGTTCAGACTGTATCTCTGGAGTAACATCAGTTACTTCAAGATTGCCCCTACCCGATCAGATCGGTGACTGCCACCAATCATTAAACCTAGGCCCAACGCTTCCTTCCGATCGCCTCCAACCACATAATAACAGTAGATAAGTTCATTTAATGGAGTAGTAATAACTGGATGAGGATTCCAGCACAATCAATATATTCACGCAATTTGATAACTTCCTTTATATAGCCTCACTCTCTTCTTATTCGTATTGGGTTTACTATATATTTTCGGCAACTGAGTTGCATCATTTCGACAACAGGTGTCTAAGATGTATTTGGTGAGCATACAATCAATGAATAACCTCTTCCTCTCTGTCCATCAAACTATAATACTCAAATGGAGACATACTCTGTCGGCTGAAGAACCCAATACCTAAAATTAATTTCGTTTGAGCTGTGTTCTCTGAAACGTTTCGTTGTTGATAGCAGAGTTTTTGTTGTCCATCTAGATAAAATCTGCAGCACAGTAATGTTGGCCGTACCTAGCGTTTCCTATTCAAACCTATCAGCGAATATTCACCCCAATCGTTTCACAAGAGGGGAATAATCGGTACTTCGAGGCTCTATCGTGATACACCTGACCGAATCAAGACACCAAGCAAAATGACAATGTAACTTCAAAGTCATCTGAAAAAGACATCCTGTTTCCTGCAGTCATAGAGACTTAGCTTCACGTTTACCCTTAAGCACTCATCCACTCCTTAAATTAACCCTTCGATGCCCCCTTTAGACGATGAACTCATAGGTTTCTATGCTGGTACCACTGAAAAAAGCTCATGCAAAAAGTCACTCAAACGTTTCATTTCATCTGAGTATCATTTGAGTATGAAGTGAATGCACTTTTTCATGAATGATTGAGGGTTCTTGGAAATGATTTTCCTGACGAATGACCTTAATATGTTATTCTCACACAAAAAAGTGACTTGACAATGTTCTTGAAACTATGAGTCTTATTATACGTGTGAAGTGCAGCAGATTTCTGTATTCATCTCAGTATAATGAAAGTATGTTTTTGCTTTTTTGATCCTTGAAGCCAATGGCATCTTCATGCCTACCGCCTTCATTTGAAAGTCTACCTACCTACATGAGTGAACAGATGATCTTCATCGAATTTCTACCTCTGATGATTTTCAGTGTTTTCTGTTGTTGGACACTCGTTAGCTTCATCAAAGCTGTCCTCTCTTTATTTGCTTGTTCTCGCTGCCAGCTTATCGCTTTTCACCTGCTGGTCTTTATGTTTGTGTGACAATTAACAATTATTGTCCACGGAGTCAATAATGTCTGCTGGAGTTTTTTTGTCCATTCGATGTGTTGTTGCCTTGTAGATCTACAAACACATTGTGTCGTGTGGTCCAACATCCAAAAGGATAAACCTATATCATCGGTGATAGTAGACAGACCTGTCTTACTCCAGTCTTCATTTCAAAATTATCATCGAGTTTTACTTTGTAGGTCATTCAACATGTGGCAATCTTACACGGCTGTTGAATGAGGTTGATAAAGGTTCGGAGAACTCCACAGTATTGAACTAGTTCGCAAATTACTTCGCAGTCAACATTCCAATGTCAATGAAATTGATATAGAGAACTGATTGTCATTCTATACGCTCGGTTTGATGATGATGATGACGATGATGGTGAGGAGAGCTGTCATTTGATCCTTATATCGTTAATATATAATTATTTACCTTTCTCAATTCAGCTTGTTCTGGAAGTGGTTGTGCACGGGAGTTTTCCTATAGCCCTTTCTCCCTCACCTAAATATGTTCGTAAACACTCTTAAAACCTGAACGATCTCCCAAAAATGCCACTATCAAGTGGATTAATATCAACAATGAATTGCAAGTTTCACGGAACACATTACCGTAGTGAAAAGCTCTGTTACAGTATAATCAATGTCACGCAAACCTCTCTTTATAGTTTCTGGAGGAAACAAAATACAGCCTTGTTGAACTGGTGTGTATGTGTGTTTTGGATGAATGCATCCTGGAGGTGAATTGTTTCCGAGATAGTCAAACAAAATCAACCTTCATAATGAAAGTGCACAAACTATCATTTCAAATAACTGAGTTCGAATGAAACGGGTCGGCGTTCTCTGTTGCTATTCATAAGAAATAATTAAGTTTCAGGATTTCATCATGAGCTGACATTAGTTAGACAACCATTGTAAAACCTGGGTTTACCGGACAGCTGTTTCCTCCTAGTTTGGGACTCCTCGGCAGTACGCACCCGCCGGGATTCGAACCCAGAACCTTCTGGTTACAGGGCGAGCTCGTATACCATTGGGCCACTGAGACCCGATCCAATGGTCCTTGAATTCTAACTTCGGCCAATTCACGACGTAGCGCGACCGCCAGCCAATTTCTTCGGCGAGTATTTGTCCTCACACACGACCTGCTGCACCCTACTGGTCACGATTTCCAACTGGAACCCAGGTAACTAGCTAGCTGAATAGGACCAGTCGCCAGTGAGCATCTCATTGATATTCAAGTGTTGGTTTGTAGGGATTTGATTGGTTTCAGGATTTCATTATAAGCTGACATTAGTGGTCGCGCTATGTGGTGAACTGGCCGAAGTTAGAATTCAAGGACCATTGGATCGGGTCTCAGTGGCCTAATGGTATACGAGCTCGCCCTGTAACCAGAAGGTCCTGGGTTCGAATCCCGGTGGGTGCGTACTGCTAAGGAGTCCCAAACCAGGAGGAAACAGCTGTCCGGTAAACCCAGGTTTTACAATGGTTCTCTAACTAATGTCAGCTCATGATGAAATCCTGAAACCAGTCAAATCCCTACAAATCAACACTTAAATAATTAAGTTAAGTTCTACCAATGATTCACTTACAGTTGTCCGACTCAGATTTCTTCTAGGCTTTTCTACGAAGGTGAGAATAGGAGTTTGTAAATTCAACACATATTTACATATATAAAATCTGAAGACGATGGAGATATTTCTCAATAGAAATGATATATAATAATAACTGATAGATTTGGTCACAAACCAACATCAGTTGGAGAGATCTGTGATTGATCAACGACGTTGATCTCGTGACGTGAGTTTCCTGGATTCGACCCCTGGTGCAGTTATGTCTGCACACCGATGGAAAGTCCTAAATAAGATGGATTCGCGGACAAGCAGTCTCTGAAAATAATACGTTATCTTATGTACGGAAATCTTAGCGGAGTTTATGACACAGCATCTTCTATTTATCTGACATCTGATAATTAAATACTGATCGACAGTAGGTTGTGTGAAACAGTGATATCTGATCTGAAGCATAGTTGAATTGCTTGTGAAACTAAGCTTTTGACATAATTCATGGAATCATCGCATATTTGCAATAGATACTCTCTCATTGTTCCTTGTTATTCACGTATTTCACGTTCTATGAAATAACCTGATGAATATTGATCTATGAGGAACACAATTAATTCGACTTCCTTCATTATAACTATACATAAGTTCTTAACAATGAGTAAAATCGAAAAGCCTTACTCAAAAACAGAATGTTCCACCATTTGTATTCTCAAGATAAATGCACAAATAACAAGGCCAGCCTGAAGAATTTAAGGTTCAATTAACTACAACCGAAACTGCTGCTTCATGCGTAAATATGTTGGTTAGTGGCTGTAAAACGTCAAGTTCATGAAATATCCAACATGGACTCTCCATGGTCTTCAAATATTCTAGGCTCTTACTCTCGCTGCAGTACACGCATGACTGTTCGCTCACCACAGTCAATTGAGTGATTCAGTCAACCACAAGTAGAAATATTATCGATGATGGGGGGGTGTAGCCTTGTCTAACGCGTCACCTTAAGTCAACTGTAATAGGGATAATAAGAAAGGATAATTAAAATTTACATATACCTGAGTCATCAGTCTGCTTCTTCTTACTATTTTTTCTCCTTTTCGATTTCTCTGAAATGAAAGACATATAAAAATGAAGCGGTTGATTCGAGCAAACAGACATTACACAAATCGCAACACTTGATATGTGAATGACTACGTGCTAGCACGCGAACAGTTTCAAAGAGCACAACAGTGATTATTCTAGCGCTGATTCACTCATTCTCTGCCTTGTTGAGTGCATGCTTAAACGTGTGACACAGCATATGGATACGAAAATCGTGTGTCCGTTTATGCTTGACATATTTGAGATATGGAGAATTGTGGAAACCGGAGCTGATTTTATTGCAGAGAATAAAGGTTATATCTTCTTAGTCCCATAGTATTTGATAAACTCTAGGAGAGTGTAGTGATCTTCATGTGTGAATGACCACCTTCCAACATCATATGAAGACATGTGAGTGAATGTGTGCTTGTAGGCGAAGAATGACTGCGACATTATGAAGTAAATCATCTTCAAAGACTGCCTGCTCATGTATGATACAAGAAACCGTAGTGAATGGCATGTGCATAGTGTTCACTTGTGTGTGTATGTATGTGTGTGCTTGCAATGCCTCGGCTTGCTCTTGCGCTTGACTGATGATTTTTGCGAGTTATGTATCTAGGCAAGTGTGACTGTTCAAAGACCTACTCGTCAATGTATTCTCGATTTCTCTTTTCTTAGTCTCTGAAATATGAGGAAGTGTGCATTTTGAATTCATCCATCACAGGAATTGTGTGAATCTTTTTCAACCATGGAACTGGCTCTCAGCTACTCTAAGTTTCACATAATACTGATTTCCGCGGATTTCCTCATGGGCTTCAGAGTTCTGAAAATCTGTCTTACATTTCCAGTCCTAGTATTTAAATATGTTTTTGTGCGGATGCTGTCTAAATATCCAGCAAAGACGTTCCATGGTTTTCAAATATTCTAGAATCTTCCTCTTGCTTTTTTTAGTTTGATGTATATATTATTATGAGTTAAATGGTTTACCCTTCTACTTATATTTTCATATTTTTTTTTATTTTTTGTTTTCTTATTTTTTGATTTACAGCTTGCTTCCTCACTGTATTTTCGGTACAAGTATGGAATTTTCAGCATGGATATCAGTAGCCCGAATTTTCCAGGCCGACCATAAATATCAGGTGTGCGTCGGCAGAGGATCGAACCTCGGACCATGTGCATGGTCGGCGAGAGTCCTAACCACTGTGCCACCGATACACACGGTTGTATCTTTAAATTGCATCTGTGGAAGTGATTTGGACTTCAAAATTCTCTGATGACTTAAAATATGCATTTCCAAGTACCCATTTTATCCACTAAAGAAAATTCTAAAGATTGTTTAGGACTGGAAGTAGCGAAACTGCTATTGGCGTCACATAAAAAAATAAAACTAGTTACAGTATGTGGTGGAGAGCCACAAATTAAAATATAATGATATTTTGCCGTGCACCCAGCCGCGAATACTGTGTTGATTTATGCAGAATTGATGAGAAAATAGATCCCTAACACATTCAGATTACAGAAAAATGCTCCTAATTAGTAAATAAAATTTCTGCACATAGTCAAGTGAGAAAAAAAATAAGAATGTTGATTGAATTCTCCTCTTAGGTGAATGATGTGTGTTCACTGTCAGCTGGAGGATCCAACTGCAAATTCAACGTTGTATATCCCTCGTGCCGAGAAAATCAAATCCATCCTAACAACTTATTCAGAGCACAAACTACGTTAACATAAAGTTCCCCCCATCCGTCGGATTCAATCACTCCCTCGATGTGTAGGATTCAAATAGATCTTTACCTTCTAAAAGACTTTTCAGAAAATCGGATTCTTTTTTCCACAGGAGGAGAAGGCTGGCCAATTCCGGAATGCACACTACAGGATCTATGTTATTTCAATCTTAATTGCATGTGTGACCCGTGGATATTTGACCAGTGGAGATTGATTCTTGGCAGGTGTGGATAGTCAGTGAGTCGCTGGCGCAAAATAATTCTCTATTGAAATCAATTGAGTTAACATATTAACCGTAGTGGAGGCTGCGCACTACTGGTGGATGAACTGACGGGTAGATCATATTATGTTAAAGACAATACAGATTCAAGAGAGGATAATGAATATTGACGCATGAGAACAAGAAGAAGAATAGGGAGAAAATACAAGTGTGCAAACCTGCTTTGACAAATGTTTCTCCTGCATTCGAATCACCTGAAAAGAATGAAAGCAATCAGTGAGTAGTGGTCACTTGTTTGTCAGAGGCCATTGAAACCACTGACATGAAATTTACATGAAAATGAAATAAAGCGATGATATTCTGAAATATGAATATCGGCTGATACATGTAAATTCTGATCAGATCAATCAATGGATTGTTTGTTATGCAACACGTCATATTGCAGTAGTAAGTAAAATGTTCAAGATAAGTGAGAACGAACCAATGAGTGTAGATATCTTTTGTACTATTGAATTTGATTCTACACAGATTTCCATAAATCCAAATCGCCTCAGTAATCTTTCACGATTACGTCAACCGAAGTGTCGAGCATTTTAACCAACTCATAGACACCTCTTTGTATATTCGGATGACAACACCAACAACAACGAAGCTGTATAGACTAATGGTGCATTAACATATATCAAATCTGTCTCAGTGTCGACAGCTTCTCATCTCTATTCACTAAATTCGTGTGGTTGAATAAGGAGCGCACTCGTGAGTTATTTGTCTAAAACAACACTTGACTATGCATAGTTTCTTTCATGCGAATCCCAATCAAAATTGACTGTCTGCCATTACATGTCCTAGTAATAAATGATTGGATGGAATACCCTAAGGAGACCATCTGACTTACCCATGACTCCTGCTTGTTGACAATCACCAGTCAGTGGGTTTTATCTGCAGTCCTCAAGGATATCAAATTTCCTGCAGTCAGAGACATCACCAGTGAGCTAGCTGGCTATTCGAAACCGTGATTCACCCCCTGTAGGACTGCATTGCTGACTAGTTCCAGCCAGCAAGGACGAAACGCGGAGCCGCAAAGGGTACCCTATCAATTGCCTCCAACCATCTAATTACAAGAACTCTGAACACACCGTGCTGGAGATCCACCTAGCTTATTGTTTGTCACATCGCAAACTTGACTAATAGAATTCAGTCTGCAGTGAACACCAAGGATAACAGGCACGACACCAGTCTGTGTCTAATCGAAGTACTGCCTGTCTCATCGCTCAACTGTATTCCACCGAATACACTTTCTATTTTCGCCTTGTATGTTATTGTCGCGATGAATTCTTATCCTTGAATACTGAGATGGTAGACATTGTAATGGTGACACTTTCAGTGCTCGCGAGAGTAGCCAATGAATTATGTTGCTTCTTGCTTACCTTTCGGAACATAAGCCTTATTATTTCGAATATCTGCGAAAATGTATGAAACAAAAGGCACATTAACTTACATAAAATACGTTGATTAGTTTCATGGAACGAAAGACAAATCTGGAAAACCTACACTATCCCGTGTCGTCCATGAAATGTATGTCACCATGGGGTGTCAATGTCATTGCTCATTATACCTGAAGTACTGTTTACAATCAACACCAGTTTTCAGGACTAAATCAGTGAATACCAGCATCATCAGAAATCTGCACCCTCATCTATGGCAATGATTGCTCACAGTCCTGGATCCTTGAATAGGTATTTTCGGATTCAAGAAATGGCTGAATTCTGTCTAACGGGCAGCATTGTGGACGAGACGTGTTCGATCCTTGGTGGGATTGGTGTTATTGCTGTTGTTGAAGTGGTCTCATGTTGGTCTCAAATCACGAGAAATCAGTCATTTGGCGCTTGGTGTTTTCATTCAGTGTTTTATCACCTGACCAAGTTTGTGGCGAATTCTTCACTCAAATATGTACAATTAGCCACAAAAGCGCAACATGTAAAATCTAAAATGACATCATAGAATATTAAGAAGATATGCAGATAAAAATTTCTAAACCAAACTTCAAATCGCTCACATTCAAATGCAATTCTCCCTAAAAGACTGCGTGCATCTATAAATGAAAACATGAATTACGTGGAAAATACAAAGCAGAATGTCTTCGCTTCTGCAGCATATAAATTTACAGGTCTTTACGACGCATACAAAAGAAATGATATATGCACAAATAATGCGGGCACATGCATGATCTTGTCCTCAAGGCTTCTACAGGTCGATGACTAACTGGAGAACACTGCTCTTAGCCCTGCTCGCGCGATATGTATAGTGTTGAAATGGGTTTAGAACTACTATCCTGAGTGTCCGCAGAAATGTGGTGGTAGCCCTTGCAGGAAGAACGATTATCGAACATCCTGTCAACAATGCTCATTCCAACCAAACAAACGCATCTTGCTTTAGATCAATCCACAGAGTAAAGAATAACCTGCCTAAGGGAATACCTTTTCGTCTCCTCTGTACTGCTGAGGCCTTAGTCATTCACATGGAAAATCCACAGCCATACATACAAGAGGAAATTACTCAACTACTCCTAGTGTCATAGTAATTGACTTTTGATTTGTGTGCTTGTTTTTCTGTTTCGTTGAAACTTTTATATTTCTCTAGAACTCTTGCACAATTCGTTATTCTCCTTCGTTTCCGTGGTCATCCTGATCGAAAGTCACTCAATAAATTATTAACATTATTGAGTAGCTCTAATGCACGTGTTGAACTTCTCTGATGCACTAACAACTCACAACTGCTACCTTCTAATCAATCATGAATCCTCTAGTTACAATCTTATTATTCATCATATGTTTGCAGTATTTTGATGGAGTAAACCCATACACTGAACAACGTTTATTCTTGTTTCCCTGACAAACCTCATGTATGCGCATGCACACACAAACATGCAACAATTATTCTATATAATGAGACTGTAGAGCCACGTGGTTAAATTCACTGCCGAAAAGAGACTGTTCGATGAACTATGCACTTGTTTTTATCTCCGCTAATGTCTAAATGGGGATTATTCACGAATACGTCTGCGTCTCTGCCGTATAAAGCCACTGAAGTTCAGTACACTGTTTCCCCGACAAACACATTCACAAGTGGATGACTCCAATGTAAATCTGAGTTCATGTAGTTAGGCAGTCAAGAAACTGACTAACTGATGGGCGAATCAAGAATAATATCTTAGTGTTGATTGATAGATTGCATTTGTGATACCCAGTGAATCTATGGAAACGTTGGAAAATAAAGGAAGTGAACATATTGGTGCTGCTTTCTCGTATTCCACTTCCAGGGATTATGTAGTCAAGCAACTGAAAGTATTTCAATTCCCATGTGCTTACCTGCTGATGAATTTCTCAGAAGAATTAAGTATTCTGTCAAGAGACGTGTTGTGTATAGTTAAGCAGAACGTACAGTATGACATACATTCAAAACAAATTTCGCACAATATTCTTCACAAGATATTGAACAAACAAATGATTGACATTTTTGTTGGCACCCTCTTAACTTACATGCGTGTCGGTTTCCTGTAATTGGTGTCGTTTGGTGAAGTGATATTATTTCACGTCAGTTAAGCGTCTGCTCACTATAGAAGTGAGTGTTGAAAATGTTCTGCTTCAATTCACACATTTGTGATTTGTAGTCATATGTGAATGCGTAGCTCAGTTTCGGTCCATTCATTTTTGTGTATGGTGAATTATATTCCCGGTTACCGACAGTCGTGCCGCTAAATCATCCTTCTTAAATGAACCCAGTCAGACCTCACCGAATAATAAAGATCCCATCGTTATTAGTCTCTCTTTTCATTTGTTTGTAGTAGATTCCAGAATGTAAATCTTGTCATAATCATTGTTGTGGATTTCGTCCCATGCATGTGTAGCTAAGCATGAATTTTTTTCTTCTGAAGTATTGTATGCTTGTTGGTTAACACTTAGTCAGTCGTATATACTTATTCACTCTTATTTTCAGCGATGATCTAGACGGTTGACTCGTCCATTCAGTTGAACATTCAGCACACGATATCATTTTCAAAGTTACATTATTAATTTAATCCATCATTGCTTCGGGATCATTTAGTTGACTTATTTTGTTTTTGGGTACTTGCATTCGTTGAGTTAAACGTGGTATGTGTGCCAATATTCTGAGGTTTCGTTGAGCTCTGACTCTGACAAACCGTTTGTCGTATGACATTGTCTCTGTGGTTTTTGACATCCCCTTTCTTGTCATTATCTGTTTTCAACCGCCTTCTATGCATCTTTATGGTATCTCGGATAAATTATTTTGAGTAGCGGCTTCCGAATACCACTTTCAATAAGGCAATTGCTTCTTCTCTTCGGTTTTCTACTCTTGTTGAAAGTCCTCGCATTCTGTCTGTAAAAACTTGTATTAACCCTCGATTTACTCTGAGTGGATGAGCTGAGTGATAGATATTTACGGAATCTCCCATAATGTGCATCTCTTCTGTAGGTAAATCATCAATTGTATGCAGTCATCTGTCACAATTTGTAATTCACAGTTCAGCTAGCACAAGTAGTTCTTCAATTTATTTCTCTATTTCCATAGTGAATATCCACACTGAGTCTACAGGACTGTTGTTTGTGTGTGGGACGAATCTGTCAGTATCCTCTTTGCTCAATACTCCTCAAGCGTCATTTGCACATCTCAGTCAAGATTTTGTTGATGATATGAATGGTTCAGGTTCATTTTCCTTTCTAAAATCCATGAATATGTCACCTAATACCTGTGAGTTGGAAAATCCGGCGACCATCGCTTCACGTAGTTCTGCGTGAACAACCATCAAGTTTTGCCGATTGACGTCGAAAATTTTCTCCATCTTCCTTTTACTGAAAGTGTCCTGATACAGTGTTTCATATTCCTTCGTCTTTTCAAAACGTCGTGAGTTTCCAAGTATTCCGAATGCGGCATTTCAAAATCACTATGAATAATACTTGATGGCATATGAACACCAGATGGTGTACAACATCTCAATGTTTGAAGATTCACCTACGATTACAACTTCAGTTACCCCTTTGACACAATCCTCCATACGAATTTCTCATTCGTATTGTTCGTTAGTCAAATCTATGTTTCAAAATTGTTATATAAGTTAAATAATTTTTCTTTTTCTATTTTTTTTTATTTTTTTTATTTTTGACTACAGCTTGATTCCACACTGTATTTTTGGTACAAGTATGGAATTTTCAGCATGGATATCAGTAGCCCAAATTTTGCAGGCCGACCATAGATATCAGGTGTGCGTCGGCAGGGGATCGAAATCCGTACCATGTGCATGATTGGCGAGCCTCCTAACCACTGCGCCAAAGACGCAATAAAATAAGACTATGCAAAATCGGGTTAAAAATACACGAATACACAAACATGAAGACAAATAAATCGTGAATAGTAAGTAATCAGATTCCTTTTTACAGTAGAGATTTTGTTGATTGATTTTGAAGTTAGGTTATTCGTACCTCTCCTCACAAAAGTACAAAATATTTTAAATATAAAAAAATGTTAACGCTTACTTTCGTAATCGTCACTCATATTCAACCAGTAGGCTGTAAACAATTAAGAAAGTGTCATCAGTGGTTGTTTTTGTGTGCCGTTACACAGTAAGCTTGCTGATATGAAGATTAGGTTTCAAATGAATTCAGTGTATGCAATCAATGACAATCGTACCTTCAAGTCACAAGTCGCTTACTCTGCAAAGACGCCTTTGGTGGTGAAATGTGATGACAATCTGAATACAGTCGTATCCTCGTTCCTCACTATCCAGGTAGTGAGATCGTAACTGAAACAACTGACTGAGCATTTCACAAAGTGTTGTCTTTCCAAACCAATTGAAACACATCTCATTTCAAGTATTTCCTTCCACAATCACATGAGCGTGCGGGATTCTATAAGTACATGCAAATGTGACGTGACTTCATGCTTTTTCATGTCTGGCGAGTATGCCAACCTCTCAGTGATTCAGCTTCATGGTGCTAGTGCATCTGATATACCTATCCTTCTCCCCTTGTTGACCAGCATGGATACTTGTCATACTTGAGTTTAAATCAAACGCAACGAAACACATTCTCTTCGACTCAAATTAATTCAGCTATTCAAATATTTACAGGTGCGATTACTCTATACTTCACATGGAAGACCAATGAACGAGGAATAAATGTAGTGCAATAAAATAAGGGGGAAAGGGGACTCTACATATCGTGCCAAGCCTTTGTACCGGCGATAATGGTCGTTATTATCATGATGATCTCACATTTCTCGATTGTCTTTCAAGCAGAAACACATGCCTGCTCACAGACGAAAGCAACGCTTACAATCCAACTTGTCAGTATTGACTATGACATTTCAAACCTTTGTCGCTACACATGAACAGATCCTTTATTGTGGATTCATCAAAAACTCACGTATTCCCTATTGATTTCTTCCACCTGTAGTGGAGTCTGAAAGTACGTGGGTGAATGAAACCCTGAAATGATGGCAAATCATCAACAACATTTATGAGGAGTATGTCAGATGAGGAGATAGCTCAATTGTTTGTCGGAATAGGGTGTAGTTCAAGTTTTTGTTTAACTTACAAGTCATCACTGGCGGTTCTGTTGTTTTCGGAATTCCTGTAGATTGTACAAAATCGTGTTATAAATAAACGAATATACTAACATGAGCACGAATAAATCGTGAATGATAAGTAGTGAGATTTCTTTACGATACAGATTTTATTTATAGTTGTAGAAATATGATTTACACAATGTCTAGCTCAGGTCGAGGTAGTTGTGTTCTTTGAGCTGAATGGTTTATTTGCGAAGCTTTCATTCCAGCACGAAGCAACCTCTTCAACGTGTACTTCAATTTGAATTAGGGTTCATATTCCTCTATGAGAGTTTCGGTCACCTCTCCTGGTCGCCTTGAACGTAATTTGTTGATTTGTGTGTTTCAACGCCCTTTGGGCTACTTGTATTTTTACAGATTGTTCGCTCAACGTGATGTTTCATTCTCTGTGTGTGAGAGATTTTCTCCGTTTCTTTTGTTAAATGTTCTCCACGTCAACGTGTTTTTTGTCGCTGACGATTGCCAAGAAAATCAGGCTTCTAAACATTTTGTAGCATTCTAGTTGTTTCCTCTGTCTAATATTTGAATGCTGGTTGTCTCAGTTGAATTGATTTCTGTGGTTATCTGTATGCAGTGAGTGATATGATGAAGTGGATGTCATGCCTTTTGAGGGTTAGCTTATGCTCAGGGATACGAAGACGGAGAGGACATCCACTTTGGTCTACGTAGTTTTTTTTCACAGTTGTTACATTTTATTTTGTAGATGACATTGATTTTATGTCCTTTCTCTGTTGAGTATTTTGGTTGACATAGAACAGGGTGAAATTATTTTGTTGGTTAGTGTGCGGCGTCAATTCTCAAAGGTTTGAATAGTCTTGCAGTGATTTATGAGATGTCCTCTGGTAACATAAACCAGTAGGAAGAATATAGAATGTGTGAATATATACAATACATTTCATGGACAGTGGAGAGTTGATCGCAGTGGAACCTGTAGAGCTGAATAACTTTCTTGAGTCTGTACACGACTCAAAATATTTCTATTTCCGGTTTTCCGCTTCATCGACTGTAAAAAACGCTCGTAACTGGTGAGTAGAACCTAACCGTCATTGTCATATGTCACAAAAACTCACAAATCGTTGCAATCTAACTGTATAGACAAAGTTCCATGTTTCTTATCCTTTTCAACCATGTGATCACCAGTATCTCCTCAACGCAGCTGCCAATGAATATCTGAATTCGGTTTCGAAAATGTTTCTTGCAGCACACACGCTAAGTCTCTCAACCAGAATTGCGCGCTGATTTGACATCAGTGTTCAAAATCTGAATCGTTTTCCTTATTCTGAGTGCAGTGGTTTTTCACACTGATTTCAAAATAACATGAAAATCGGTCCCACTTTTCTGATTCAGCCTTTCACATTCTCATTCGTGCTGCCTGAAGTTGAGGCCACATTGCCCTAAGTAAGTAGCAAAAGAGGATTCCTTCAAATGTCTCCCATTAGGAGTGGTTGTCCTTGTTGTTTTGTTACCTTCACCGCCCATATCTTCACTGGAACTGTTGTATTTTTGCTGCTTCCTCTCATAACTTGTCCGCTTAAAATTTTAAGTCCCTGAGTCCGTGGCACATCGAACGTAAGTCGTCCACGAAGTCAACATCTTTCACCGTCCTCTTATCGGTACGACGTATTTCTTCTCTTGTTCTTGGAAGTATAAATTCAAGAAAGTTCAGCGTAGGGTCTCTTTTCGGTGAATTCATTGACTTAGCTGTACAATAGCACTAATAAATAACCATTTTGTGTGTGAGGACATTGGCATTGTCAAACAAAAAAATATAGAGTAAAATTTAGTTAGAATGACTGTTCACCTCATCAAAATGTTTCTAAATTGTGACGAATAATCAGTAATAAATTGTAACTAGGGCAGTGAACGGTACACGTTTCTCTGCTCTAACATAAAATCATGAGTGGTCGCGGCAATGGTGGAAAGTCTGGTGAGAAGGTAAAGACCCGATCTGCTCATGCTGGTCTTCAGTTCCCAGTTGGTCGTGTTCATCGTCTTCTACGCAACGGCAACTACGCTGAGCGCGTCGGTGCTGGGGCCTCAGTCTAACTGGCAGCTGTTCTTGAGTATTTGGCCGCTGGAGTTCTTGAATTGGCTGGCAATCCCGCGCGTGACAACAAGAAGACTCGCGTCATCCCTCGTCACTTGCAATTGACCATCCGCAATGACGAGGAGTTGGACAAACTGCTCGGTGGTATAACCATCACCCAGGGTGGTTGTAGTTGTTGACAAGGGTTCCGTAATATGGAATAGAATGTTAGTTGAGACACGTGTTCCGAAAGTACATTATGTAATGTGCAGAAAGAGTGAATACATCTTGGTTAAGAAGAAGATGTTACTAAGATGCCACACAAAAAGGAGAACAAAACAAAGTCGTGGAACTTCGAATCATACCTAAAGTAGAGTGGAAATTGTGGAGACGTTTCTTCTGTGGGCATAAGTCACTGTTTTCTTTTCTAACCACTTAGGCCTCGGGGCAATGCAAAGTGTACAGAAGCTTTATTTACTCTCTCTACCCATTACATAATGTATTTTTGGAACATTAACATCTTATTTCATATTACGAAACCCTTTTCAACAATTACAAATATTCACCAACCCTAGTTACAATTTTGATTATTTATCACAATTTAGAAACATTTGGATGACGTGAATAGTCTCACTTTAACTAATTTTACTGTATGTGATGGAACTAATCAAGTACATGCAAACCTACACTCAATAATATATTTTTACGGCATTTCCCTCGGGCTTCTCCCAATACACGTGTCCCATTTCGCCTGAATATCTGACATTGCTATGAAAGCTTCCTCCACCATGAAGTCTATCGATTGATATGCCACATATATGGGTGATTTTACTATTCCGTGTCATAATATCAAATGCTTCACTTCAATTGCTTGAATACTTGCTTGAAGAGTGCCTGCATTCGATCGGTTTCTATGCACTTTGAAAGTTGGATGATACACGCTTCCGTTGGAGAAGACAAGATTCAACCTCAACTCTGTTTATTTCTCTATGCACCTAATGCTATTGAATGCCTGAATGCAGACCGCATTATCCTTTCAAGTTGTTATATTATAGCGTTTATGATTGCTCTCTAGGGTTTCGGGTGAAACGAACGGCTTTTACGGCACACTTGCATTCTCTCTTATTTTCTGCGTTCTTCTTCATCCTGTCTCGAAATTGTTTATAGCCACTGATCCCCTCCTCACACAGCCGCCTTCATATCACCTACAGAATCACTCTCCATTCATATTTTCCAGTTTGAAATCCAAGCGAATCATGGCCTGCCACGCGATGTCATTCAACATTCTCCCCAGGGTGTGTCTGATCCATCTCTATCTCCTTTTAAATATTTGTTGAGTAATAAGTTCTAACCTGCGAGTTTCGTCTCATGGTTTTTTGCTGCTAATTCTTTCAGACTAGTCGTACAGTCTTCAGAATGGAGCCAATGAAGAAGACAGCAGTTGATAAAGGTGTGAAGTAGTCTATTGGAGGTGGTCTCCGTGGCTCAGTTTGAAAGTCTCTGATCCATATAGAAGAATCAACGGATTACACATTCCTGTTGAGGTTAAGAATCTCGTTCCTACTCCTGAATTAGTGCTATAGATTCGCAAACTGATTTCAGAATAACGAAGGATTGCCTTGCGCTTCCTATTCATATCTTCATCCATTCTGTCTGCCTGTTGTTTGACTTACGCCTCTTATGTGAGTGAAGCGAGTAACCCTTGCCAAATTTCTTCAGCTGATTGTGACTGGTGGGTGTTGTTCAGGTGAAGTCCCGTATTCGCCAAATTCACCCCTTCCCCGCCACTTTCTTGGCATTCTCCCGGAAGTATTTGAGTTTGTATTAAATTAGACATAAATCACCCGCAAAATCCTAAACTTCCTGAGTCTTCTTATCGCTGGTCCTGCGTATCACTGTCTTCTTACTCTTTCCTGTCCGATGTCTAATCAAGTCCGATACAACCAGTAATTTCTTCAGTGATGGTAGGCAGGCAGTAACGCCCTACTCCTGTCTTCACTTCACACGTCACACTTAGTCTACCAGTGGATAATTTCATATTTTCCCTTTGTCACATAGCTAGCTGTTGAATGAGAGTGATGAGTATTTCATGCAGGACACAGTGTTACAGCAGATCCTGACAAGCACAAGTGTGATATTTCTCTATCGCTTCTTGTCTCCTTCAAGGCTTTCTATCTACCTAGTTGATGTGTCTCATATATTTCGAATTTCTATCAAGGTGCATTATTCCTCAATTCATTCATTCATTCATCAACTCATTGAGTATCACATGTCTCCATTTCAAATGGTGTTTCTGTTTGATGATGATGAATACGAATTAATGAATAATTCTACGCCATCTAATGACAGTATTTCATCTGAACAATAAGCAATACAATACGATAGTGTGTGGTCAATTCTTCTAAGGTTTCTTTTAGGATGTCACTTAGCCTTCTTCTGACCAAAACCTATCAATTGAACATTCTGAGTCGAAGTACGCTTTATTCACAAGAAAATTCACAGGCGTTATGGTGTTGAGTTATTGAAATGGCTGATGTTCAACAGAAAAGTAATGATTGGGTATCAGTACTGATGTTATTTTTAATTGACATGTTGAGTAGGATAGCGAACACTTCTACAGATGACCAGTGATGTCATGATATGCAACGCGTGTCTACATGTGTGTGGACACCATCTCGAATACAGGTCATATATTCATATTCAAAGATGTAAACTATCGAAAAAATCATGTACTGATATATTCGCGCTCACCTTTCAAAAATGCGTCCAATATATCTGCATCAATTGATAAATGGAAACAAATAAATAAGGCAACAGTTTACAGAAATATATGATGCTTAATTTTTGCGTAGTGTATTATTATAATGGTCGCAAGAGTGAAGACGAGCTGACATCAGTTAGAGAGCAACTGGATAGTCAACGGTGAATACGGACAGATGTATCATCAGCCCCATTTTGTACTATTCAGCAGTACACCACATCCACGGCAAGAGTGTGAAGCCAGTACATTCCAGCTATGGAGCGAGCTGGAAAACCACTAATCCAGTGGCCCATTACCCAACGCTCCATGAATTCCAACATCTGCAAACTCGTGATAAGTAAGTGGTGCTAACGGCGGTGTTATCAGTGGTGTATGCCGCGTCTCGCAAGAGGATAGTTACTTGGTTGTAACAATAGCTGGCGTTTGCACTGTATTTCAAGGGCCATTTTGAGGACCATAGTTGCTAAATTGTCTATGAGATCGTCTTGTAACTACATTAATCTGATCTCAACGCGCGCATGTGTTTACTGTCGATGAGGCCAAAACTAAGCTGACAAAACTGCTGTGTGTGTAGTAACTCATGCTTATTTTCAATGGTTCTCGACTCGTGATCAATCGTGTTGCCAGTCTTATCCCTGCAGACGAATATTTCATACATAACATGAAGGTTATCGGGCGAACAAATGAAAATGTTAATTGAATTCTCCTCTTAGGTGAATGATTATGCATTTGTGATTTGTGTTCACTGTTAGCTGAACGGTTTATTCGCAAAGTCAACGCGCGGCAAGACAATCGACTGCTTCCTAACAACCCAACCAGAGCACAGATAACAACAACATTAATTTCCCGTCATTCTTTGGATCCCATCCCTCCGTCGATGTGAGGGATTCAAATGAATCGTTAACTTTTAAATGACTTTTCGGAAAATCTGCTTCTCCGATTCACTGGCGCAGAGTGCTGGCACCATCCGGAATGCACGCTTCCGGATGTATGTTAATTGGATCTTAATTGCATGCGTGACCCATGGCTATTCGGCCAGTTGAGATTGATTCTTGGTTGGGTATGGACAGTGAGTGAATCGCTGGCGCAAAACAATTCTCTATCGAAAGCATTTGAGTTAACATGGGTATTCCGAGTATGTTATCCGTAGTGGAGGCTGTGCACTACTGGAAGATAAACTGAGGAGTGGATCATTTTATAATAATTGACTATACAGCTTGAGACACGGAAATCCATAAAATATATGGGCGGCAATGAGATAAATTAATGCTTCACAAACCTGATTTGAGAAACTGTGCACCTGAATTCCCTCCATCTGAAAAAAATGAAACTAATATGTGGGTAGATGCCACTTGTTTGTCAGAGGCCATTGAAACCACTGACATGAAATTTACATGAAAATAAAATAAAGCGACGATATTCTGAAATATGAATATCGGCTGATACATGTGAATTCTGATCAGATCAATCAATGGATTGTTTGTTATACAACACGTCATATTGCAGTAGAATGTAAAATGTTCAAGATAAGTGAGAACGAACCGATGAGTGTAGACATCTTTTGTACTCTTCGATATGATCCCGCAGAGATTTGCATAAATCGGAGCAGTTAGAGATAATTGCGAAGACCAAGTACATCTGCGATATTTCCTTTACTTACTTTCAACCATCCTGCCTCAGTAATCTTCTTTCACGATTACGTCAACCGAAGTGCCGATCATTCAAAACCACTTATAGACGACACCAACACCAACGAAACTGTATAGACTTTTATTGCATTAACAGAAATTTAATCATTCTCAGTGTCAACAGCTTCTCATCTCTATTCTCTACATTCGTGTGGTTGAATTGGAAGCGTGCTCGTGAGTTATTCGTCTCAAACAACATTTGACTATGCATAGTTCTCTTGATTCAAATCCCAATCAGAATTTTCTATCAGCAATAACGTGTTCTGTTGATAAATGATTCAATGGATCCCTCTAAAGAAAACTCCTGACTCACCCAGGTTTCCTGATTTCTGGCAATCACCAGTCAATAGGCCGCATCTGCGATCCTCAAAGATCTCACATACCCTGCAGTCAGAGACGTCGCCACTGAGTTAGCTGGCCATTCAGAACCATGATTTACATCGTGTAGGACTGTGTTACTGACTAATGCCACCAAACAAACAGGAAACATAGGACCAAAAACGATCTCCTGTCAGTTGCCTCCAACCATTTAAATACAAGAATTCTGAACACACGTGTTGGAGATCCACCCAGCTTATTCGGTGCCACATTGCAAACCTGACTGGCTGAGTTCAGTCTGCAACAAAATCCAAGGATAATAGACATGACTCCAGTCTCTGTCCAATAGAATTATTGCATGTCTCACAGCTCAACTGTATTCCTCTGTATACACTTGATATTTTCGCCCCGTGTGTTATTGTCTAGATGAATATGTATCCTTGAACACTTAGATGGTAGGTAGTACTCATCACCATATATGTGAGATATCCCTTGTTCAGTTTGTTTAATGAATTATGTTGCTTCTTGCTTACCTTTTGGAACATAAGCCTTATTCTTTCGAATATCTGTGAAAGTGAATTAGATAAATTGCACATTAGTTTCGATGAAAGAGTTGATTGGCTGAATGATGCGAAAGAGATATCTGAAAGCTGTGGATACACTTGAGTATTCTCTGACGTTTTGTGAACTAAGCGTGTGTCCTTTAATTATATTTATTAAATGTTGTTAGTAAACAACAACAATTTTTCAGGCCGAACGAAGCAAAGAATTTCAGCGTCATCCAAAACCTGCATGTTTATCAAGAGCGTTGATGACCGACAGCCCTGATTCTTGAGGACGAGGTTATTGAATTCTGGTGCGAGTGCTCACATGTTCTTCGAGGCGTGTTCGATCCTCGGTTTGCTTGGTGTTGGTTTTGCAGCAGTCTGAGGCGGGTCTCAGGGAAATCATGGAAAACTAACCATCTGACGCTTGATATTTTCATTCAGCGATTCACCCACTTATTTGTTTATTCGTTCAGCATTTATCACCGAAATGAAGACAGTTACTCACCGAAGATCGCTTTTTTCAAACAAAACATGCCAACTTGGTAACTCAGGAAGATAACTCGATACGAAAGTACACGCAAAATTTCATTTTTTACTCACATTCAAATGCGATTTTTCCTAGTTGACTGCGTCGAACTGTTAATGAAAAAGACTCATTTCAGTTAAAGTGGCAGTTTAAAACTACACGTATTCAGTAACTTTTTTTACCGGTCTCTACATTGACAATTGAACTGATGAATAGAACAACTCAAATGGTTTATAGGGCAGGATTTATTGAATTCATCGAATTCCGGTAGAACTACCTCATATACGGAGAGGTATCTACATAACATTATAGTTATATTGAGACATATAAGCAAGTAAACCACATTGAATTAATCATGCAGAACGACACGTGCAACTTTTTCCAGGTCATGTTCAAAGAGATAATCTAACTTGAATGCAATCGCTCAAATAAATAACCGGTCATCAGAGGTGCGTATCTAGAGGTGCGAACTTGATAAAAGTGATAATTTTAATAATATTAACGACAAAGTGATAGATTGAATGAATCAAGAATAATAATGATAATAATAGGTAGAATTGAATGTTAATAGTATTAATAGTAATAACAGTTATTAAGCAAAATGCATTGCCATGACAGATTCAGAGTGATGACTAATTCCTTTTGTACACAAAGACACCTGGTTTATGAACTCGAATTACACTTGCCTCTGCAAACGCAAGTATGTGCCAGTCTCGCTGTCTGCTGACAACAGTAAATCGGCAAAGTCCGATAAATGCATTTTGATACCGTTAATTTTTAGCCATTTGATTGCTTATAAGACCTATATCTTGAAATTTGTTTCAGCAGTACATATAATCCTCGTATGAATAGCATGCAGACGAAGCGATCTACTGACGTTTAATGAGTTCTAAAAATCCTGCGTCATTAAACTGTCTTGCTTGTTTTAAATTCGCGTCACGAAATAAATGTTTTTTTAAAGAAAAACCTGCAGAAGTCAATACGTTTTCGTCTCCGTCGTATAGCTGAAGCCTTTGTCATTCACTTAGAAAATTCACATTTATCCATATAAGAGAGGAAATACTGAAGCACTTCTACTATCTTCGCCACAAACACGTAGACTTCGACCGAGACGAGATTTGTGGGCTTGTCTTTCAAATACCTTGTAAATCTCGTATTTCTCTGGAAGTCTAACACAATCCAGTAGTCTCCGTCGTGTTCATGTGCATCCTGATCACAAGTCACTCAATGAATTGTTCATGCTTTCAAACAACACTCATATACCTAATCAACTTCTGTGATGCACTGACAACTCACCACTACTACTCTTTTACCAAACATCACCCTCCTTCCTACTTAGAGTTTCGTTAACCAGCAAATGCTTAGAGGTTTCTGATATCGAGAAAATCACCCTGACTAATGTTCATTCTTACTTCGCTGACAAACAGTAATCTGCGCATGCAAACACCCACGCATTCAACAATAATTCAATGTAATGCCACTGTGGACATAAATGAATCAATTCGTCGCTGAAAACAGATCCTCAGCTGATCTACGTGCTTGTTTTTATTTTCAATTATGTCAGGATGAGGACTATTCATGAATGCACCTCCATCTGTGTCGCATAGATCCACTTAATGTCAGTGCATTGCTTCCCTGACAGATAACTCCACTAGAGGACAGCTCCATTGTGACTCTGTGTTATTGTGGTCAGTCAGTCAGTCACAAAACATTCTGACTACTATCGAATCAACTGTCGAAAACAGGACGGAGTATGATCAAATGCTCCTCTTCACTGATTTCATGAATATGCACGTTTGTAACGGTGCTTCTAATCACAATTACCAATACGATGTATACCTATGAATATTGACAACACCTTTCGTGCACAATGAAGCCCTTATTGCAGTGAAGACCTGAAGGCTAATCGGGTTTTCCGAATCCATTAGATGGCTTGAAGTGTTCAATTCCAGTTTTCTAGTTCACTCACTATGGAATATTTCAATGACTATTTTTTATCGGAAGAGATTGACGCGATATTGCTGAAACATGAACATTTACGAGAAGTGTGTGTGTGTGTGTTAGCTTTGATGAGAGTATGGGTAACATGCTTCTATTTCACAGTACTCACATCATCGAGTACTGTAATGAATGACATGATCAATGTGATTGACGTGAGACTCCTTACATACACGGTTTACTGTGAAAACGCCCCAACATAGGGAATAAAACTGCCTGTCCAATGTGATTTATCCCAAAGTGAACATAGTATTTCCAATGCTTTTTCATTCGAATCTAAATTATGATGTTATACTCACTTTGCATTCGGTCACTTTTCTCCTTTCGTTTCTTCCTTTGACGCTCTGAAGTATAAACAACGCGCTTTCTAATAGTCGTATTATTTTATAAAAATACAGGTTTATTTAATACAATATAAGTAATCATAGAATTTAAAGGTTTTATTATCGGACTGGAAGCTTTTCGCTTCAGTGGCGTCTAATCTATAAGATGATTTTATTATTCAGACAATCGTCTTCAACTACATCGCCAGGGGTTAGGCACTATTACTGTGTAACTTGAGAGATGGATGAGTTTATGCAACTATGCACTACAACAGTGATATAGTGGTTGTCCTCATTTTGGTGTACGCAGTTCCATCTGCTGTTAAATGAGTGAGATCAAAATTTTCCGGAAAGATATTTCAAAAGTAGGTGAAGACTAAAAGAAGAGAGAAGGATAGCAAAACAAAACATTATCCAGTGCACCGACGAGCAACAAAAAACAGGAGTTGAATTCAAGCTACAATACGCTGAACAAAAGAGTAAAGAAGAGTGTCAGGGAAGACAAAAGAAAATATTATGAAACCATGACAAGTGAAGCAGAACATGCTGCAGTGCAGGCAAAGGAGACCTCGCCACACTCCACTAAACAACTACGTACCTATCAGGCAAAAGTTCGACACAAATGAAACCAGTAAAGGATGCCAATGGATAGTCAATCACTAAAGAAGTGGAGCAGAGGAAACACTGAGCTGAACACTTCAAAAGACTTCTAAATCGACCACCACCTACAACGCGCTTAACAATACAAACAACGGAAGCGGAACTACCAGTGAACATCAACCTCCGAACAACAACAGAAGTCTTGAACGCAATCAAGATGCTAAGAGCTGGAAAAGCAGCAGGACCAAATGGAATCCCAGCAGAAGCACTGAAAATGGATCCAAAGACATCAGAGGACTTAATGATGCCGCTTTTGTAGAAGGTGCGGAAAGAGGGCAAAGTACTCGAGGATTAGAAGAAAGGATCCTTATTCAAAATTTCGAAAAAGGAGACTTAGGTCAATGCAAGAACTGGCGCGGAATTATGCTACCGTTCTTCCCAAGCAAAATACGAAGCCACATAATCCCGAAGAATAGCAGTCTATGTGTAGGTCAACAGCACTCAGCATCAAAAATGAGGTCCGGATTTTCAACTACAATGTGAAAGCAGTGCTACTATACGGATCAGAGACTTGGCGCGTCAAAGAGAGCAGCTCAGACAAACTACAGACCTCCATCAACATCTCTCTTTGCTCAATACTCAAGGTCAGATGGTCGACCAGAAACGATCAGCAACAGGGATCTCTGGCAATGAGCGAACCAACCCAGCAGGAACTGGCTGTGCAACAAATAAGCAGGAAGAAATGTAGGTGGACTGCCCATACTCTGAGGAAACCACCAAGTAACACCACTAGACAAGCCCTCAAGTGAAACCCAACAGAATGGGAACCGGCGAGATGGTCGTCAGTGCAAGGGTAACTTGGACGAGTTCATGTGAAGAGAAGATGAAAGCATGTGGGCAGACGTGCAGTCAAGTGAAAACTCTAGCATAGAACCATACTCAATGGAGACGTGCAGCTGAAGCCCTATGTTCCACTAGGATTTAAATTAAATAATAATTATGAGCAAAGTATTTCAGTCACATTTTATACCAACCTGATTTTCTCTTTGATTTCCTTCTACTCATGTTCAGTATATTTTCACGATCTGAAATTTTAAAATAACACTCTTCAGTATAGAGAATGGATAACAATTGTGACAGTCAGCCAATTTTAGCATTCTGAATATAATAATGTAGTGTCAAGATTATTCTTCTGGCATAAAAGGTGGCTCGTTATCACTCTGCGCTTTGTAGTGTTGTTAATTATTGTCAAATGGTTGGAAGCAGTCGACAAGAAGTCCTCACAGATTAGTGTTTCGTGCTTGTTGGCTGACATTCTCCTCCAGTCAGCAGCGCGAACTTACAATCGTGAAGGAGCCTCTCTGCCTCTTGATATTTCAAAATTGATAATCTCCGCCTGTGATTAGAGACGTTGCCGCCAAACTGCTGTGACTTACGTTCAACTTCACTTGTACATTCTCATCATTTATAAACAATATCTTTCACATACAAATAAAGTAGCAAACGCGATGTGTTTTTCATCGGTTACAGTTATCTGTATTCATCGAAACGTAAGTTGAAGTAGAGAGAATTACAGTTAGGTAATAAGATGAATAATTTGTTGAATGACATAAGATCAGGATGAAAATGAACACGAAGGAGACTGCTGAATAGTGTAGGAGTTCCAGAGAAATACAAGAGTTACAAGGACTAAGAAAGACAAGCCCACAAATCTCAACTCGGTTGAAATCAACGTGTTTGTTACGAAGATAGAGGAAGTGTTTGAGTACTTTTCTCTTATATGCACAACTGTGAATATGCTAAGTGAATGACAAAAGCTTCAGCACGAGGGAGACCAAAATGTAGATTCATTTCAGGCAAGATGTATTTGTTCAGAAGGCATGTGGAGTTATTTTTATCAAGGCCATACAGTGTAGTTCTTATCAACCCATTTTCGGTCGAATGCGCATCGAAATATGGTGTGTAACAATCATTTTGACATCCACTGACTTGATTTCTGCTTTATTCTTTTTATTTTTCCTTCACGTTCCCCAGTGGAACATAGGGCTTCGAGCTGGTTGCTTGAAGTTTCTGTAGCAGTGTTTATTTTACAGGATGGGGTGGCTAGCCTCATCCCCAACCTAGTCTCTTTACCAGCATTTTTTCTGGCTTAGCAAGATGAAGGAGTGTGTCGGCAGGGATCGAACCCCGGACCATGTGTTTGGTCGGCGAGCGTTCTTACTTCTATACCACCGACGCTTGCTTGTGTGCTTCTCCTGACTCCTTAGAATCCTTGTACTTCCTCACGTCTCTTAGGTAATACCATACATTGCTTCATTTCGATATGCATCTTGCTAACATTTCATTCATTCAATTATTCATGTTATTACGTAAGTTCGATGCAATCATTAGACTTATTCTTTGCAATGACTGATAATAACAATGATTACACCGACAACAATTTCTATGCCATCAATGTCACATCATCAAGGAGATGAGTGAGGCTTGTGTAGGACGAGGAGAATATAGACGCAGTAAAAATGTGTACAGCTGGTACTACCTATTAAACTAAAAACAAGCTGCATTGTTAAATTGCCATAATAGTAACCGAGCGCGTCTAGGTAGACCACAGACAACCTATTTAATGCCAGAATATTAATATATATATATATATATATATATATATTAACGTGCACACTAGGCAAGGAATTTTCTATTGATGAATGGAATGCATAAACCTCTGCCTAACAACATACTTCCAATTCAACGGCCAAATATACGAACAAGTCAAAGGAACTCCCATGGGATCGCCAATATCAGGTTTGATTGCAGAAGCAGTGATGCAAAGACTCGAAAACATAATTCTAGCAAAGATCAAACCCAAGATTTGGATACGCTACGTCGACGACAAATTTGTAATCAAAAGAAACGAGTAAGATAAAATACACAACTTAATAAACAACGTCTTCAATGACATCAAATTTACAAGAGAAGAGGAATCCGAGAACAAAATACCATTTTTGGACGTCTTAGTCAGGTGAACAACCGCAGAAGAATTAGTAACTCAAGTTTATAGGAGATCAACTCACACAGACCAAATCCTGAATTACAACAGCAACAACCCAATAACATACAAAAAAATTGCATACAAACAGTATTCAAGAGGGCCAGGACTCATTGCAGCACTCCCAATTTAAGGAAGATTGAATAAAGATATCTCATAGGCGTCCTGCAAAAGAATGAATATCCACGGAATTTCATCAAAAAACATATATCTCCAAGCCAAACTATCAAAGCCCTTAGAGAAAACACAAAGAAAATCGCCTTACCATATATAAAGGATATTTCAGAAATCACTGCAGAACTATTCAAATATTTAGGAATCGACGTCTCACACTAACCAACAAAATCCTTTTAATCTGTTCTAAGTCAACAAAAAGACTCAACAGCGAAAGAAGATAAAACCAACTTCATCTACAAAATTAATTTTAACAACTGCCAAAAACACTGCATTGGTCAAAAAGGACGTCCCCTTCGTCTTCTTATCCACGAACATAAGCTAGCCGTCAAAAGACATGATATCCACTCCATCATATCACTCACTGCATACAGACAACCACGGACATCAATTCGACTGGGACAACGCTCAAATATTAGACAGAGGAAACAACAAGAAGGCTAGAGAATTTTTAGAAGCTTATCATTCCAGTGAATCATCAATCAAAATTTATCAACCGATAATAAAGAAATCTCATACACAAAGCGTCGATGTTCAAGTCAAAGAATCAATCAGCTCCAATACAAGTAACCTAGAAGGCATGAAAACACACAAAAGCAACCAATCACGTCCAAGGAGAGATGACTAATAAACTTGTGGAGAAATCTAAAAGCTCACTTCAAATTGAAGTACGCGCTGAAGATGTCGCCCAGTAGGGCGATGGAAGCTTCACAAATTAACTATCCAGCTCACAGAACACAACCACATCAAAATTTTCTAAAGAATTTCACGCTCTTCTCAACAAAATGTTCTCAATACGTGATCAAATGCTGTTGACATACAGGTGAACTGTGTATCCCGGCTCAAAAGTATAAACTTACTTGAATACGCTGGCCTCCGGTTTACGAATTGGACATCACTGTCTGATGAAAATAACGGATTGAATGACAGGACAAAAAACAACAAGACAATTTTAAACTCAACAAAATATTTGCCAATTTCTTTTATTTGTTGATTTAACAATAGAATGTGAAACTGAGCTCTTATTGAATCACCTACTTGCACAATAGCATTGATATGAAGACAAGTTTTGTCATCATTGTGAGCAACTACCGACCATTGAAAAAATAATTCATCCTAGTACTCCTACAATTATGAACAATCCATCTGACCATCAAATCTCTACATTCTTTGACATGATTACTGCTAAAGAATCGATTTCCCTAGATGTGAGTGACTTGAATGTGTGAGTCGTTCTGCTCACTGAAGGTTTTTCCAGGAAATGCAAAATGTCGATGGAGTAGAAAAGAGTTCATATATACAGTCAGTCCTGATGATACTAAAATATTTAAGAGGAAATTATTGTCGAATCGATGAACGGATTACTGTGTAGGATAAATTAATTCCCATTGACAAAAATATAAATTTAGGGAGAGAGATCTAAGAAAGAACTAGTTGATTAGACTCTACGATCTGAGTGATAAAACCATCGAAATTGTAACGCATTACCCGAAGGGTGCAGCTGAAATAGAATTCAGTGCATCCGACGTATGTTGTGTCTTCACAACTACTCAAATTTCACATTCGTAAAATCAGGAGAAACAATTTTAATTTTTCCTCCGCTATATGTATCTGCCAGTTGGACTGCAGTCATGGAGACAACTACATTGGGTGTGCAATTAGGTAGGTGCATCATCATATTACTGAACATCCTCCTGTGTGGTTAAGCAAGGGGCGAACACGCTTCATTCGTGGCATGCCTTGTAAGCAGTGAGAACAATGCTGATTTTAGAACAGCATTCAATTTATTTATCGCATTGTGATTAATAACGTTTTATGCTTTACAAGTTTGTCATCTTTATGCACCTGAAGTGAATGTTATCCACTAGAAAAATTCAAACTTGTGGCTTCAAAATAAATTCGTGTAGCCACTTCCATTATCCTGACCACCGTTACATGATCGTAAGAAGCTGGTTAATTCACTGACCATATTCAGGCAGTTAACCTGGGGTTCTAGTGCAAAGCCGTGATCATTAGGGTACAGCAGGTTGACGATGAGGCAGTAACTCATCGAAGAAGACATTGCGAAATGGTCGCGCTATGCCGTGAATGAGAAGAAGTAAGAATTCGAGGACCATTGGATCGGGTCCCAGTTGCTCAATGGTCTGCGAGCTCGCTAGACTTGTAGCCAGAAGGTCCTGGCTTCGAACCCGGTGGGTGCGTACTGATGAAGAGTCCCAAACTAGGACGGGGGAAACAGCTGTCCAGTACTCTCAGGTTTTCCAGTGGTTTTCTAACTGATGTCAGCTCATGATGAAATCCTCCATGCAATCAAACAAAATCCCTACAAAACCAACACTTCATAAATTATTGATCATAGTGATCACCTCACCCTTACTAGTTGACATGATGACATTAACTGATCATTGTGAACAAAAAGTTGCCACTAGATTGATGAAGGGATTTTTATAGTGAAAAATTCTCATGTATACTAGAGTAGTGTCAAACATGAGAATCTAGTTGAAGGGCACGTATTTCTTCGCTCAATCAAACTCTATTCCAAATTTATTCTAGAAAGTTAAAAATTATTCATGGAGTACTTGTCTTTCAAAATTCTTTGGAATCTTATGTAGGTAGATAAATGAATTTTAGGTAATGCCCTCAGCATTAAAGCTGAACAACTAGGTTTTTCACTTATAGTCACAAACATGGCTGGAAAATGTAACATTTTGCTTTTTTGCATGAGTCACACAGAAACTTCTTACCAAGGGGATTCAAATCTGAAATGAAATGGGATTCCCATTCTAGTCAAAATATTGTAGACTGTCACGTAAAACAACAATGGTCATTTTTATTATCCCAGTGATTGATAATGAGAAGGAATGAGCCATAACTTCAAGTCAAGTCTATATTTTTGTTACGTTCAACACAGGAAAAATACACTACACGCTATGCTGAAAAGTCGCCTTAAATATAGTTTGAGTAGATTATAGCAGCTTAATTCATTACATACATTTTTAAATGCGGTTAAGTATATCGATGCTTGAAGTTAGTTAATTTAGTCTGCAAGTACATATATATATATATATATATATATAGCTGTCGAAAACATCCATCATTATATTGCCTGTAATTCCTCTTGTTCAGCTTGTTTCAATCAATTAAACCTCGAAATCTGATTGTGTTTTCCAATCTAGTGAGTATCAATAAAACTCCTACAATCCACTGGATTGCAAGTTTCCACACAAAATTTGGGAAAAAGCACAACCGTGAGTGGCAGGCAACTCATCTCAACAAACGAGAAAACTGTTCCTGAGATTTCTAATACGAAAAACTGACACTGCCTTAGAGAGGTAAAATCTAGCCACTAGCAGTCTTCAGTTTTTCACTTATGTCTCTGAGAGTTTTGTTTTTTTAATTGTGCATTTGTCGAAGGAGGCAAGCGATTAAGACTATTACAGTGATTTCTGATAAAAAGCCACCCAATTTGGAGCAGTCACTTTGGCATTTGATAGGGAAAGATACAGTCAGGTCATCAGCATATTTGACAAAATTAATGTCATTTCAAGATGGTAAATCATGTAGAAAAAAGAAAAGAGAAGTGAGGATAGTACAGCACATTGGGGGACACCAGCTTCAGTGAGCACAGCAGAAGGGGATTTACCTTTGTATACAGTGTTCTGCATTCTGTTTGAGAAGTAGAAATGCAACCAGTTTGTGTCATGGAGAGCTTATTTAACAAGAGACATCTAGGTACAGAGTCGAAAGTAGAAGTGAAGTCGAGAAACGTGCAGCGAACGTATCTGGCACCTTTATCTAATGATGAGACGATACTGTTGGGTAAGACGGCTGCAGCATCCAAAGTGCTCCTACCCTATCTATATGCAAATTGTTTAGGATCTCCAAAACTTTTAAGGGAGCATTCAAGTTTAGGAAGTATTAGTTTTTCCATCAGCTTTAAAAACGGAGAAGTGATGGCATTGGGTCTGAACTTTACGTTCTTGCTGTTACCAGGTTTAGGGACAGGGACTATTTTAATGTCTCTCCATGGAACAGGTACAAGGTTTTTGGAGAAAGAAGTATTCAGGTTGTTAGTAGGTGGAGAACATAAAGCATCTGAACATAGATTTAGAACATAGGCAGGCACACCATCAGGGCCAAGGCTACGTGAAGTCTTAAGCGTTTTAAGACTTTTTCAAGTATTAAAGAAATCATGCCAAGAAACTGAACAAATCCTTCTTATATATATATATATATATATATATATATACTAATATTACCTCCTACGCCAATAAATATGCTAGCATCTACTTTTCTAACAACTTAAAACATTCTGTTCAATTATTGGCTTTGCTATCGACATGCCAATATGTTGCTGTCAAAACTAACCGAGATTACCCTTAATCTATGTAGAAATTTATTTATTCTTAATGTACTAACTGGATGCAATACAGTAGTAAAATGATGAAAATTCCATTCTGTATCACAAGTACTGTTTTGGAATAAAGCAAATTATTACTATTATTATTAAAAGTGAAATAACAAACGAAAGTGGAAAATTGTTCATCTTTTCTATGTCAATCTTTAATTTAACCAAATTCAAAGCTTCTGTCACCGCCTTAAACATCAAATACACATTTGCAGAAAATTCAACCATATAGAAAATAATCATTTTTACACATTTGCTCAATATCGACTCAATCATAGCAATAAAATAATTAGTAATTATAATAACGGTAAATAATTGTGAATATTCAGTTTAGATAATTACTCACCTCCAACATGAATTCCGATGAACAGGAACAAAAAAAGAAAGCAATAGATCTTCATATTGACTGTGTGTTGCACGTGGCATAGTTCACAAGCTTATATACTGGAACAGATGTTTTGCGAAACGAATCATTAATGGCCAAGTTATTCTGCTTCAGCTATTGGTTGAGTGATTTCACATCTTACTACTGATTGGTCAGAGATTTAGACGATGATGTGATGATTTTTTTGGTTTTGCTTACATAGTCGTATTCTCTTTCTTCTCTAGAAGAATAATTCACAGATTTGAAGCCCAAAAGGATCTGCTGAACAGATCCAGGTTGTCTTGAAAAGGAACTGCTGCTAAATCTCAAAAATAAGAGTGATACCGACCTAATCATACTTAGATAGCATCCTTTCACTTCTCCTGATAAAGCACACTTCCATGTCAGCTTGTAAAAGAAAATACCCGTCAGTCGTTTGCAGGACTAACTGTGGAATCAGGTCACATCATCATGTATATATATATATATATATATCAGTTGATCTGATCCTGGGAAGCTGATTCAAATAACTGTCACAAACATGCGCTTGTATGAGGCAATCTTTTATGCGACTTGACTTCAGCGACAAAGCAAGAATATAAGTGAGGCTGAAGAGCACTATATTAGTTCTAAATCAAGGCTTACAAAAAAACTACACGTAAGAATAAAATAATAATAATTTGCTTTATTCCAAAACAGTACTTGTGATACAGAATGGAATTTTCATCATTTTACTACTGTATTGCATCCAGTTAGTACATTAAGAATAAATAAATTTCTACATAGATTAAGGGTAATCTCGGTTAGTTTTGACAGCAAGATATTGGCATGTCGATAGGAAAGCCAAAAATTGAACATTCTTTGAAGTTTTTATAAAGGTAGATATTAGCATAGTTACTGGCGTAGGCGGCAACAAAAAGGTTGAGATATACAAAGTGAGAAAAAAAGAATGTTTTAAGTAAAGTTATTAAGGAAGAAAGAAACAAAGCAGCACATAACAGAAAACAATTTCTGATATCCTTTTGAAATATTCTTCATGGTATTATTCAACATTGCTTTGCGTTTGGGAACGATATGAACGATATACTGTCGAATGAAGATAAAGTTTCTCAACCTTCCAATGAAAAAAACAACACGGACCAGACTGAGAAGCAGCCCACAGACGTCTTGAAGATAAGGAAGGCCAGTCAACTAATTAGTGAAGATATCTACAACTAGATCCGGGCTACAGGTTCAATAATACCAATACTTTATGATCTACCAAAGGTACACAAGGTTCATCTCTCACTTCGTCCAATTCTGGATATGTCAGGTTCCCCTTACCACTCTATTGCAAAATGGCTAGCAGATATTCTGGAACCTGTAAGGAAGCAATTATGAATACACTCGCTCCGTGACACCTCCCAGTTCATCGAGTGCATACAACATATGAATGTATCTAACAAAATTATGCTATCCTTCGACACTGATTCACTTTACACCAATGTCCCACCCACAGAAAGGGTCTGCTTCAAATGCAGATATATAGATGACAACCATCTCAATATTGGAATACCGACAACATATTTGAATGAATTATTATTGACGTGCACTTTGAACGTCCACTTAACATTCAACGATACCATCTACAGACAAAAGGGTAGTATTGGAATGGGATCTCCGTTGGGTCCACTACTTTCAGAAAGCTTCGTGGCAAGCTTCGATAGAGGTCCACTAAAGCCGAGCATTGACAATTTGCGACTGTATAAAAGATACATGGACGACATTTTCATTATTTGTGACCGCAACAATGACATTTAACTGTTGCCATCCAGCAATGAAATTTACGCTTGAAATGGAAAACGAGTCAAAAATTCCGTTTCCTGATGTGAAACTAACAAGAAGAACTGATGGGAGTCTAAGAAGATCGATCCATAAAAACCTACATGGAATAATCATCTAACAAGCTTCTATAGCTGAGTACCCATTCAACGAAAGCGGAAATTAATTAAATCACTTACCACCCGCATTCGACGCATCTGTAGTCCCGACGTTCTGGAAACAGAATTAGATATTCTAAGAGAAATCTTCATCGAAAATAGATACCTAATAAGATTCATCGACAAAAATATGAAACCAATAATTTGGAGAAACGAAACTTTAATTTCACCTCAAAAAAACTCTACATGAACTTGGATTTCAAGAAAGATTTAGCAAGCGATATTTTCAAGAGAAAGATCACATCATCTCTGAGAAGAACATTCTTTGCAGCAACGCTAAGAATAGTGTTCTGTAGTCGCCCACTGATCTGCAGAAGCCTCATGGAGAAGATTCCCCATCTGACCACTTCTATGTGCATATATCAGTTTACCTGCTGCTGTGGAGCCAAGTACATCGGTCGTTCTACGCCCATCCTGTCCAAGAGGATTTAAAGAACACTATTCAGCATGGTTGCGAAAAGGCGACAGTGGTGCAATAAGGAGTGGGATAATTGAACACCTGGTTAACAGTGATTATTCCATTTCAACAAATGCCTCCTGCTTCAAAGTAATCTACAAAGTCAAGAATAACCTATCAAAGGCAATACGGTTTCGTCTCCTTTGTATCACTGAAGCTCTGACTATTCACATAGAAAAACCGGAGCTGTGCATACAAAAGAAGATTACTCAACCACTTCTATTCTCATGGTAACAACTTTTTTTGTTTTGATTTGAGTTTTTTTTATTTTGATGACTTGATTTTGTTTGTTTGCTTGTTCTTTAATTGCTTATAATTCTTGTATTCATTTGGATCTCTTACAAAATTTCGTATTACCTGCTTTGTTTCTATGTGCATCCTGAGTAAAACGCACTCATCAAACTATTCATATTATTACATAACTTATTTTAACAACTGTTTGTGACAACTCATCACCTTTGTTACTCTCCTAGTTTCATTAACACCCAATTCTCTTGACTTGTATTACCAACCTTCACCTGTTAAGTTGAAATAACCTTAACGAATTGTAATTTTGTTTGACAAACTTAATGTACATATACATACAAAATAACACATTGTACAGCTAAGAAAATGCATTCGCCGGCGAAAAGAGACTCTCCGCTGATCTACATGTTTTGTTTTTATCAATGCCTGGATGGCGATTATTCATGAACCTTATGTTTGTTACGTATAAATTTGAATAGATAGAACATTTTCGTTCGCCTCGGATTTTTCGATATATGATTTCGTGAGTAATACATCTTTTCAAGTTTCACTTGTGTTTCTTAAGAAAATGTTGTTTATCATTGGCCGTGTACATCTACACCACATCGTAGAACGTGAATACGTAGACGTACTCTAGTATTATAATCGGAAATATATGTTTATTACAAAATAATTCCATAGGTCGACAGTGCAATATCTCAAGAAATGAGGAAATTTAGAATGATTTTAAAAATCCTCTTCGAAAGTGTATACAAGACATTATCCAATCTTAAATGACGATTTCAGTGCATAAATGAAGCATTATCGTGGTTATTTGCCACTGTGAACTTTCTAATATTTTCCACAATCTAATGTGTATCTTCCGTGTTATTTGTAGTGTGTGTTTCGAATGGGACACTCAGGGCTTTAGAAGCACATCTACACATCTTGCGGTTATCTGTCGCATGTTCTAGATATCTTCACAGCTTCTGACGAGCTCTTATTCTCTATTCACATGATATCCGTCATGCCAAACTAGTCTTTAACCATTCAGGTTGCATAAGACAGCTTGATAGAGGATGTCACTTAATGATACGTTCAGAGGAAATTCCTCCTTCATGACTTTTTTTGTCTACAAAGAATTATTGTATTTTATCCATTCACAACTGATCAACTCATCTTAAATAATAATTAAGGTGAAGGCATTAAAAGAGACAAACATACACGGTAAATTGTTAGGCCTGTTTCCTGTGAGACGAGTGTCAACTAACTCGACTATATAAAGAAAACGTGACGTGGTAAGCAGTGCTATATTTGATGGCGAATTGTTTAATGGTGATAAAGTTTAACAATACAACTGACCAGGTGGTCAGTCCTCTGATATTTATTTGAGTGTAGACAATGCGATGATGGCATCAAAATAATCTCCTTATTGAATTGCTGCTAAGATACAATTTGATTTAACTCAGTGCGAAGAACCAGCTGTATAAATGTTAAATTAACGCTTATTGGACAAACGTTTTATGTAAAAATAAGTTTTTCTTAAGGAATTAAATGGCCACAATATTCACTGCTGACAATAGTGAATAACATGACAGTGTCCACATCATATCCTTTGTCCACAAGGCACAATTACATTGAGAACTGACCAAAACAAATAAACCAGACATTGGCTATGGGTCGCGCTATGTCGTAAATTGGCAGAAGTTAGAATTCATGGGCCATTGGATCAGGTCCCAGTGGCTTAATGGTATACGAGCTCACCTTCTAACCAGAAGATTTTGGGTTGGAATCACGGTGGGTGCGCACTGCTGAACAGCCCAAACTAGGACGAAACAGCTGGCTGTCTATCACTCCCAGGTTTTCCAATGGTTCTCTGACTAATGAAAGCTCATGATGAAAACCTGTGACCAAATCAAATCCCTACAAACCAACACTTGAATAACAAATAAACCACATTTGAAAAAGGGCGGAAACAAATGACACAATGTAATATAAAGCATAGATATTGAAGAAATTGAATCAAAACTGGATATGGAAAAGTGCGCATCATATTTTATGCTTGCGTGACAGAGGATAAGTGAAATGAATAAGAAAACATAAAATAATTATAAATCAGTGTTTCATTTTCTTTTCTTGCAGGAAGATCCTCGAGAGTCAACAATCTAGATCAAGAAATACAACTGCAATACAATACTGCAAGATCTGAACCCCAGCATAGACAAGAAATATTGTTAGGCTTTAAGACTGCACCCTTGCTTACTTTAAAACTCATTCTCGTGAAATAAAATGTTCGCTAAACAATTCTCGTTCTCCTTTCTTTATGTGTGTGCCTGTGGGTGTCAGATGTGCTGTAAACACAGTCTCAACATGAAA